CTCGTCCTACTGTGCTGGGTCAACTGAGGGGGTTGTGGGCTCAGCGAGGTTGACATCCGGACGCAGACCGTCACCCTCATTGCTCTTCCTGGGGCGCCGCGCCTGTCCACGTGCGAGGGACGTTGCCAGGAGTGGGGTCCGCCATTTTTTGCCATATCAGTGTTAATGCTAATTAAACTTAACAATCAAATGAGAAAGAGGTGTACATTATATATATATATATATATATATATATATATATATATATACACACAACATAGATTAAATCATTAGTTAGGAATTGCATCAAATCTTATATTTTTTTTATGTTCCAAAAAAAAAATTATATATATATATATATATATATATATATATATATATATATATATATATATATATATATATATATATATGTAAACTATATGTAATCACAAAAATGCATATATATAAATCGCCTTAACCAATTAAACGACTCAGGTCAATGAGATTAAACTACAGGCAAGAAGATACGTTGCGACGCTGTACGGCGTACGCGCTTAGGTGGCAGATCACAAAGCGTTCGATGAGAAAGGTTTTCGCCGAGTAATTGCGTGTAATACTCACGCGTAGGATAAGCGCGTGGATTTCTTATTGTTAGAAATCGCGCTTAATCGCACCGTCGAGACGCACCGGTCTTTCGAAATGAACGGCTATCGAGCATCGACGGGCTCATGAAACAAGAGGTCTACTCCTCGATTCATCGATCGATCGATCGAAAGAGAGATGATCACCAGGAGCTCGATCGGGAAGGAGCGGTGCTCACCGACGTGAACCAACGGCCGTTGGATGTCATGCTCTCCCAGCCCAATCTCTTCGATCTGAAGTCGGTTCTCCGGTTCCCGTTTCTTTAGTTGCACGATCTCTCTTCACTTTGATCGCATTCGATAGATCGTCGCTTTAGATTCACGGCGTCCCGATGCACGCTTTCAAGTTCCGATCCTATTCGGATGCATGACGGCATCGGGTGGATCTCAATCGAATGCTTTCTTGGGGGTTGTTCTTCGGAAAGGCTTCGTCTCCGAGGTGAGACTCTTTCCCATAATATCGGCAAATATCCTCTCATTTCTTGTCGGAATTGGGTGATTGACATGACCAGCAAATCTTACTTCGCAATGATCACTTATTGCTTTGTTTATGCTTATGCTGCATATCCTCTAATCTGCATCTCACACTGCCGCATTCGATGATTAAGAATGTTCAGATCCTAAATTGTTCCTCTGGTTTTTAGTTGGAAATTAGTCTTTTATGTAAGCAATTATTCTCAAATTAAATTATAGAATGATATGATGATTTGATATCAGTCCATTACTCAGGACTCTTGAGATCAACCACAGGTGACGGACACAGCCAATATCTCGACCTTCTGAAGCTATTAGAAAAGGTGACTTCCCTTCTCACTGGGCTCATTTGTTTCTCTGGAATTATGTGGGTAGGAGCAAACAAAGTCAATTGATAAAATCTTGTGTGTCGAAATCATGAAGATACAAAAATGAATCGAGTTTATGGATTCGAGGGGTTTCGGGTTTGTCTCTGAAAGATATCACAATCAACATCAATGAAATTAATGAGTACATGATGCTCACATGTAGACTCGAGCCTAAGACGTATGACTTGTACAACATTATACTAATCAACTTGGATATCTCAATAGAGACACAATTCATTTGAGATTTGAAATCCTACGAGTATATGTGTACTACAGGCATCTCCGATGCATCATAAACAAAACCCTAAGAAAATAAACCCTACATTTCCCCCAGTTTGGAAGAAATATGATCAATGCTAGCATATTTCTATAGGTTCCAGTGTCTTTCTTTTGTTGCTGAAGAATCTATTGGTTATTGTGAATTCCAACTGGAAATTGGCAGAATTTGATATGTCATTTTAGTTTGGAAGAAATATGATAAATGCTAGCATATCTCTATAGGGCTTGTAGTATTTTTCTATCATTGCTGAAGATTCTAATAGGTTATTGTGAATTCCAACAGGAAATTGGCAGAATTTGACGAGTCTTCAGTGGATCATGCAAGCTCAACTCAGGTCAAAGGAGGAGATCTAATGGGTGTGGATCCACTGGAGCTTGCATTGCTAACTTCTGCTTCTCATTCTTGCAGTCGTTAATTTATTACTGATTCAACAGCCTTTTTTTGTATGGTCAGGAAAGCCAAACTTGCAAATCATGCTAGAAAAGGTGTACAATGCTTTTTTCCAGGTATAACAACCCAGTGTAATTGTTCTTCCATTATTATTATCTTCTTCACTGATGTTGGTCTCTGCTTTTTGTGTCTATAGTTGCAAGAGACTCCTTTCAGATGCTTGCATTTTTTGGTTATCTTTCCTGACACTGACTGCATATTCTTAGTCTCTGGCATCAGCTGTTAATTTTTGGTGTCATTTTATTTTAGCCCATGGCATTAATTATACTGTCAGAACTGGGAAGGCTTATCAATTTGTAGAGTCAGGAGCCAGAAAAATTATTGTGCCTTCACTAGTGTTTTAAGATCAGTGGAGCTTAAGAATGATTATTGCACAGAGTCTCTGTTCTTGGCCAAACATGACAATGTGGGTTGAAACTATGACAAAAAGAGAGAGAAAACTATGACAATGTGAATGTGTGAATTATAAGATTATCATATCAATAATGTTTTTTTTATTTTATTTCTTTTCATATGATTGTTTTTTTATGTATGATAGGAAAGAAAGAAATGGTGGTTGCTCCTCCGATCTACATCAGGAACTTCAATCAGATGATCAAACTCCATGGTACTTCTTCAACCTCTCTCTTATTTATGATCCAATATCTTTATAAGTCGATTTATATTTGACGTGCAAAATATAACTTGAATATACTATGCAAGTCCGATACATATCACATCAATAATTTTAATTCACTGATGTAAAAAAAAAGCAGATGCAAGATTTAAACTCATGATTTGTTCTCACACTATCATAATGCTTTGCTTGGGATGATCAATAGTTTCGGAAGCTTAAATTATTAGGAAAAGGACGAAAAGATTTAAGAACTTGTTTGTTGTTGATGTGCTTTAGTTTCTCGTGAAGTTTGCTCTTTCACTGCTACAACATTTAGTGCAACCATACAAGGCCTTCAGTAAGCGTTGCGTCCTTGATTGATAGGTACTTTAAGCAAACTCAATTCCACCCCTTCCTTTCAATACCAAACATTGAAAGGGGTCACAGAATAATGGTCCATTACTGATATAGGCCCCTTTGGTTGGGGTGGGAGCCTCCTGAAAGCTACAGGCTTGACACTCTAAGACGCTAACGCTCTATTCCATGATCTTGCTTTCGGCTCCCACTAATAGGGATAGATGACACATTTGGAACGATATGATAGAAATAATTGGGATAAGTAATGGTTTCACCACTGATGATTTGGTTCGTGATTATTTCTTAAGTAGCTAATAATTGAAACAAAACGATACATAGGGACAAAAATACCAAAATAGCCTTGTCCTTCATAACACTCATAAAAGCCACACCCTGAAAAAGATGGAAAACGGAGGGCGTTTCCGTCCCAAAAAAAAAGGTAGCTGTCCGTCCCGTCCTCACCCGGCCATCACCTGTTCTAGTAAGCAAAACTGCCGGCAAGCGCCCGGCCCCTGACGGCCGCCCTTTCCCGGCGGCTCTCCGCTGGAGCGGCGGCAGCAAGGGAGCAGCAGTCCCTCATCCCGCCCTCCTCGTCCATAACTATCTGCCGACGCCGACACTCCTCGCTGCAGAAGGCTCGGTCCCCTCTGCAACAATACACCCAGCTAAATAAAACCATTTAGAGAGAGAGAGAGAGAGAGAGAGAGAAGAGCGGTGTTTTGATCTCTGAACACCCCAAACAAACGGTATAAGAAAGAAACCCTTTTGTTTCCGACCTGTACATATAGATATCTTCGCCTAGCAGAAGTTTTATCCTGCAAAGATAGCACTGTTCCAGAAAAGTGCTCTCATGGGTTGAAGCAGCAACGGCGGAGGAGGAGGATGTGAGAGAGGCGTTCTTGAGGAAGGAGGTTTTGCTTAGGATCTGGGCTTGCTTGGGGAAGTTCGTTTGGGTTTCTAGGAGGACGCTTAGCCCCGCCATGTGCTGCTTCTACTCCACACACTACCCACTCTTCTTCTCCTATCTTCCCCTGAGGAGGCGACGAGTGTAGTAGAGCGCCTTAAAGAGGAAGAAGGGTCGTGTCTGCTGCTCCGCGGGAGCACTGAAAGGCTAATGCTTGCCCTGATGGGGATTGGGGGAACAAGGGGGTGGATCTTTTCGACCTCGGGCCGGTCGCTGGTTTGTCTTTTACCCATATATTTATTGCCGACTGCTGTTGAGGGTGATACATGTTTTGATTTGATTGGTTGATGGGGGACGGGTGCCTCCTCACTCTTTTTTAGTGTGGTAAATCCATAACATAATGGATATCGCTATAGTTTCATCATTTATAGATTAAATTATTATATTATTCAATTATAGACTAGGTATATATAATGAGCAGATTCATATTATATGATTTTTTCATGCTATTATTATTTTTGTCCAATTATTCATTCCATGCATTATAAATTCTCATCGTCTCAATATACCTCCTGTCGCCTCCTCGGCGAGCAACCATCGTTGTCCACCCTATATATTCTACCATTACAGCATGGAAAATGGCTTGCTCGTGCACTCACTTTGAGCCCATATGATTCGCTTCCCCCTAGCTTTGGAATGCGTGCTCATTTTAGATTTCACAGTAGCCATGCATGACCTACGGATGTCACATCTAGTCACGTATTTAATTCTCTGTTCAACTCATTCTCTTCTTCTTTTTTTTCCCCCTCCAAAAGCTGACGAATTATATATTTCTTACCAATTACCATCAATGCTACATAAATTATATAGTAATTTTATATTAAAAATGAAATATTTTTAATTGCTTGTGTTGACTCTGTATATTTATTTATTTTTACTTATATCTCTTCCGATTGACATGTATCTCAACAACATTTAAATTCTGCCTCAAATTTAACTTGGATATTCTTATTTACCCTTAGTCAATTCTAATCTGATCCAGAAGTATCTTAATTCGATCTCAATGAATAAAACAGATGTGATAACTTCAATGATAATTACGTGCCATCCTCGTTCCGGACTCGTCCCAGACTGGCCTCCACGTGTCCCCCGCGGCAGTGGTACCACCCAACCTCTCCCATTGATGGTGATGGTGATATGGACACATGAATCTTGGTCCCTACGTGACCAATAACGCATACCACCAAATGCCAACTCTGCAGGGAAGAAGATGCATTGAACAATACATGGGAGGGGGCAGCGCCAGTCATCATGGCACTCATCTATAATTGCATGTTGCATTTGCTCGTCCAACCAAGTGAGAGAAGACATACTCACTCCACTCTTTACCAATCTCGTCACCTCACCTACAAAATTATAATCTATTTCTCATACATATCTTTTTAAATTTAGTTTCCCCCCCCCCCATATATATATATAAATCATAAAACAAATAGAGAAACTTATGTTTGTACCTTATCAGCTGACTGTTAGTAATAGTTTTAATTGACATTAGAAATATTTAAAAATATTATTGGTTGAATGAGTTGTTAAAGTGTCCATATATAGATCAGTATATATAGGTTATATTAATATTTATTAGAACAAAATATAAAAAGGAGTAATAGTAATTAGTAGAGTGACATGTGTGTATTATCATGTATGATGGTTACTGTCTCAAGTTTGAGTTCATGTAAAACCCTTTTAAGGAAATAATTCAAATATTAAAGTAATAATAATATTATTATTATGTACAACATATGATAAAATATTTAGTAAAATCAACAAGACGAGGACATAGTGGCCGATTACTGTTTCTTATTGGGCCTCATATGGATCACTGGACGGCCCATACGTCCGTCATCAGGACGGTAGACAGTTCGTTCTCTTTCTCCTGGTGAACTCGCAGTGCGAGATATTTGTCCACATTTCAGAGTGTTACCCGAAAAATTACCCGAAATATGATTCTACGGTTCTATGGGTTAATTGTGGGCCCGCTTTTTTGTGAGGTTGGGCCAGGTGAATTTAGGACGTCCGATTGTATGGTTTCCGAAAACCCTAGTCGCTCGGTTGGTTCCTTTATAAACTTGTTACTCAGCCGCCGCGCCGAGAGCACTGCAAGAGCTCTTCGCCCGAATCGACGACCATGGTAAGCGTCGAGCCTGATCGTTTCTCCCCTCTCTTCTCGTGGAACCCTATTCTCCTTCTCCTTTCTTCGTTGATTTGTCCTGGTTCTGATCTCGTCGATGTTGTTCGTGGCAGGGTATCGATCTCGTTGCCGGCGGTCGGAGCAAGAAGGCCAGGCGCACCGCTTCCAGATCCGACGATGTCTACCTCAAGCTTCTCGTTAAGGTCTGCTCGGTTCCTATTGTTGTTGGCTTCACCTTCTGTTGTGACTGGGGAGCTTCATTTCTTCTTTGTCTTGTTGTTTTGATCAGCTCTACAGGTTTCTGGTGCGGAGGACCGGAAGCAAATTCAACGCGGTGATATTGAGGCGGCTTTTCATGAGCAAGATCAACCGGCCTCCCATCTCGCTTAAGAGGCTAATTACATTCATGCAAGGGAAGGTCCGAACCTTTTGCCCTCTTTCTCATTCGTTTCGATCCTAAGTCCTCTTCTCGTAGTTGATGTCTTCTGTATTCGAGCTGCGTGATCTGTTTGGTTTCGATTAGGATGACAAAATAGCCGTCATCGTTGGGACGGTTACGGATGATAAGAGAGTGTACGAGGTGCCCGCTATGAAGGTGACGGCTCTAAGGTTCACTGAGACGGCTAGGGCGAGGATCCTAAAGGCCGGGGGAGAATGCTTGACTTTCGACCAACTTGCCCTTCGAGCACCTCTGGGGCAGAACACCGTATGTCTCGACCTGTTTCCTATATGCAATCTGAACTCATCTTTGTGTGTTTGTTCTCTAGAATTTGTTTACTGGCCATCTCTTTTGTCTAATTCAATCAGTGTGGGAATGATAATGTAGAATGTCAACTTATTCTTCTGTTTTTGGCCATGCAGTCTATAATTATTGCTTAGCAGGCACGATTAGTGGGATAATTTTTTTTGGATTTTTCGTGCCTGGAATGCTGTAGAGCTATATCTACTATCTGATGCAAAATTGAAAACACTGACTATTCTGTCAAGGAGTTATAGGAAATGGTGGTGTGTATTTAAGTGATTTGATTCGAAAGGACTTGTTTGTTTTGTCATCAAAAAGGCTAAAATTTCATGTCAATATTTTGCACTAATGACTTGTTTTTCATCTTTGATTCTTGAGAATATCTTATTCTTGTTTGTAATTCTTTGACAGTAAGATATGTTTAGAAATTGTCGAAAATTCATTTTCATTACGGAAGACCTGTATAATTGAAATTGTTTCAACGTCAGTTGAGGGATTCGTGATTGCAGTTAGATCAGGAAGGGTTAATATGTTCTACATATTGGCCATTTCTGAAATGATCTTAGACTGGTTGGGTCGTTTGAATCTTCTAATATCATTTCGTCAGTCCTTGCTACTCTTTGTTGAGTTTTGACCAATTCCTACAAAGCCTCACTTGATTGTTTTTTGTGTGATTTGGACCATGGTTGATGAGGCTTGACCAGTCTGCAAACATATAGTAGAATTTTTTATCCAATTAGATTATCATTTTGTTCAATATGAACAAAAGTTTCTTTTGTCACCCACTATGTGTTCAAACCCCTATTTTTTTTTACTTTTACCAAAGTTATAATCTGAGCTCATTAGGGCCCACGATCTTGTGTTTGATTAGATTTTGATATTTTATAAATTTTGTTATTTATTCAATCAGCATAAGAGGAACATCCTATTCGGTGACTTGATGTCTTAATTACTTAAAGAGTTAATAAAACAGTTGCTTATTTTTGATATATTCCTTGGTGTATATTTTTGTGGTTCCCGATGATGCCTATTTTGACCATGCTAATGCTGAATTGCTTTGACGACAATTCGTTGTATGTTCTGAGGGAACCCTTTGTTACCTATTTTTTTCTTTCTTTCCTGTCTTTCTTCCTTTCTTGCTTTAGTTTTGTGCGTATGTGTTTTTTGGGGTGGGTATATCAAAGTGATGTTATTGTTACTCATCCCATTATCTTTAGCTGTTAGAAGCTGTCCTATCAATTTGCTTCATCACAATTGCCATATTAATTCGTAACATTCCGTTTCTGTTCAAGCCATTTAAATAGGCTTTTGTACTTAAGCCAAGACTCCTTTGTTCATTTTGACAATATTATATTACTTAAGTTACATACCTTACATTAATCTGTTTCTGTTTGTTGATGATGGCACCATGTAACACTTTTGAGTGGACAATATACATTTCTGGGGACGACTAGCACTTGTTATTAGTTTTTTGTTACTCTGCTATCCATGTGGCTAGTATTCAGCCAATTAGTTTGCTAAAGATGAAACATCTGCATCATCATGATGAAGTTGCAAGATTAGAATGTGATGTGTATTCTTCATCCGAGTGATTCATTCTATGACGGCTGACTCTGATATGTTAGTATGACTTTTATTTGTTAAAAATTAATTTGATTAATTAAAAATCTAGACACAGTTAGCAACATTCGATAGAGTATTGTTCTTTTATGTTACCTTTTTCATGTTTTCCAACAATCAAATAATGTGTATGTTAGAACTATCATTTTATTTTTAATTATTGGATATTATTTTATGCTTGGATTAGCATTCAACAAAAAGATCCATCAGGCAGCCTCAAATGGTTGTAACCTAATGGCTTCTTGTTTACTACTATTGGAGCTGCCTCTTTCCTTTGGTTTGTTACAATGGATTGTGGTTATATACAAGGGACTCGTTATTATAATTGCTTTAAACTCTTCTAGCTCCTATCGACTTTTCTAGCTTATACTGTGCCATAATTCATCTTGATGTTACGTATAGCCCTGTTGTTGCGAATTGCATGTTCATGAATGAAAATTCTAGCAAAAGAACTTTCTGTAGTATCAGCAAATGTTGATTCAAGAAGTTGCGTTCTTTTATTTTCTGATCGGGCATATTCTGTTTTCTTCAGGTTCTCTTGAGAGGTCCGAAGAATGCCAGGGAAGCTGTGAAACACTTTGGTAAAGCTCCCGGCGTGCCGCACAGCCACACAAAGCCTTATGTCCGATCCAAGGGGCGGAAGTATGAGAGGGCCAGAGGACGAAGAAACAGCAGGGGATTTAGGGTCTAAGTTTGATAAGCTGGAAGGTGATCTCTTGTGTCTTTTACCATTTGGGAAGCAATCACACAAGTTACCATCTCGAAACATTGACCTTCTTGTTCTTAGATTTTGATTGAAGTTGGATGTGTTTTCAGACCTCGTGATAGCAGTCGATATAAGTTGTAGCTGGTTATGATCCCAATTGCGGCGGTGCCTCTCCCCTTCTCTACCCCCCTGCTATGCACAAATCATGTACTGATATGTTCACAGTATGTATTATCCCCCTCATCGTTTATATTCATATGCACCGTTGACGATGACATTTATCTATTTAGGTCTGTATCTTTCTTGAACACCCAACGTGGCTAAGAAAATTTCATCATTTCTTATTAAAATATTATAAAATTTACTTCTAAATTCATCGACGTATATTGATCATCTCATGTGTTATCGATTCAGAATCAACTCGAATTCAGCATTCACAAGTTTGCTCCGATATATGATGAGTAACCGGCCCATGCGGTTCACTCGACCCGAATCGATGCAGGCTTAACGTCTACCCACGCGCTTTCGATCCGGTTTTTATCAAATCAAATCACGTGCACATCCATCGAACGGGTCCTCATCCAACGGTCCATAAATTGCCACCCATCACGCGTATTTATAGCAGTCGCTGCCGCATCCTTTCTCCGCCGAAAACGTTAGTATTTTATTTCCGACGTTTGAATTCACCCGCCGGTGACCGCAACGGTACTCTCAAGATATTCCCCTCGATCGTCCAACCTCCTCATCCAACGGTCGACATCCATCCCCGGTAACCTAGGACACGTCATTCTACCTGTCTGCTGCACCTCGCAACTCTTTATGCCCATTATTAAAGTACACGTGGCAGCGTTTCAATTTCTCCTGTAACGAACGACATCAAATTTGTCGAATCGTCGATGGCCTCGTAAGCCACGTACCTTTATTTAACCTTCTCCTCGTGATCCGCTGCTCCACCTCGTCATCTCTCCACGTTTGTCTCGCACGCACGCTCATTAATTTCACCCACGGCTCCGATTGGGGATGAATTGGTGGAGCCCGCGGAGTACGTGCGGGGATAATTGTTGGGCGTCGGGGTTATCGTGGTCCTATTTCCAAATTTTATCTCTATTCTAGGGTTTCATCGTCCCCGATCGCCTCTGTCTCTGCTCCGATTTCGACCTATAAAGGGAATCCCTTCTCCGTTCTCTCTTCCATTGCAGTTGAGTGCCTCCTTCTCCGTCGTATAGCCTATTTCTCGATCTCTTGCTTCTTGTCGGTGGAGGAGGATGTCGCTGCGGCCTAGCGAGAGGGCGGAGGTCCGCCGGAATAAGTACAAAGTGGCCGTGGACGCGGAGGAGGGCCGGAGGCGGAGGGAGGACAACATGGTCGAGATCCGGAAGAATCGGCGGGAGGAGAGCCTCCAGAAGAAGCGACGGGAAGGGATGCCGGCACAGCCCCTCCCCCAGACGGCAATCCACGCCTCCGTCGTAGAGAAGAAGGTGATCTTCCTTCGACTGATCTTTTTGATTTCTATGATTTTATTGGCAGATCGGGTTGATCGATAGGATTCCTGGTGATGGGGGTTAGGGTTTTGGATTCGGGCCTCGTGATATACCGACTTAGCTGGTTGATTTGTTATTGCAGTTGGAAAGCCTTCCCGCGATGGTGGTGGGTGTTTATTCTGATGATAGTATTCTCCAGTTAGAAGCGACCACGCAGTTCCGTAAATTACTCTCCATAGGTATGTGCTCGATCAATGAGTCTGCAACGTTTTGCTCTTCCAGCTTCTTTCTTCATATAATATTAGCGATTCTGAAGTGTTTAACGAGTTTGTTTATGCTGTTTGCCTTTTTCTTATGTTTTGTCAGAACGAAGCCCTCCAATTGAGGAGGTGATACAGTCAGGCGTAGTTCCTCGATTCGTGGAGTTCCTCACGAGGGAAGATTATCCTCAACTTCAGGTCGGAGTTCTTTCTCCCAAAGTCAATTCGACTCGATTGTGCTTTTTCTTGCTGCCTATGGCTTATTTCTGCTGTTTTGGTTGCTTGCTTTGGCATGTGACAGTTTGAAGCCGCATGGGCTCTCACCAATATTGCCTCTGGCACTTCAGAGAACACTAAGGTTGTCATAGATCATGGAGCGGTTCCCATTTTCGTTAAACTTCTCAGTTCCCCTAGTGATGATGTCCGTGAGCAGGTACAATTTGTTGCATGTTAGGTGTTATTTTTGTGTTATTGATAAATTTCTACTTTGGAAATGATTTAGATGATACATTATATGTTGTGCAGGCGGTGTGGGCCTTGGGAAATGTGGCTGGTGATTCCCCAAGATGCCGAGATCTCGTGCTTTCCAATGGAGCATTATTTCCACTTCTGCAACAGCTGAATGAGCATGCTAAACTCTCCATGTTAAGGAATGCCACATGGACTCTATCGAATTTTTGCAGAGGAAAGCCACAGCCAGTCTTTGAGCAGGTTTGTCTGCGTGCTGCATGAGTCGTCGATTGTGCTGCCCAAATGCATTTCATGTTTGTATTAAGTGCTGTTATGAAAATTTGACGTGCAGGTTAAGCCTGCACTTCCAGCCCTTGAGCGGCTAATTAATTCAAATGATGAGGAAGTGCTCACAGATGCATGCTGGGCGCTATCTTATTTGTCTGATGGTACCAATGACAAAATTCAAGCTGTACTCGAGTCTGGCGTCTGCCCGCGACTTGTTGAACTTCTACTGTATGATTATAGTAACATTACCTTTTAATTGCTATTTTTTCGTCTGTTTCAAAATGTTTATATTTTGAATGCTTCTATGTCAGCCATCCTTCACCCTCTGTGCTTATTCCGGCCCTTCGTACTGTTGGTAATATAGTGACAGGTGATGATGTGCAGACACAGGTATGCTCAAGTATCATATGTGTTTTTGTCATTCTCTTCCTGGTTTGCTATGATTCATTATACTATCGCTAACTTGATAATTGGTGTATCTGTTTGCAACTTAGAAACTTGGATGAAACATGGACATGGCTTTGCAATTTAAATATGTTTATCTACTCTATAATTTTTTTAGGCTGGAATAAATGTTTTGTGTGAAAACTAGTTGGTTGTCAAATTTGTGTTTCGTTAATTAAATGATTTAAAATCTATGGAATGAATATATTTCTGTCTACTCTATGTTATGTTTGTGTTGGGCTCAGTGTTGCATGCATAAATTAGGTGGTATTCATAACTATTGTGTTCACATTTTTTAAGATAATGTCACATTATAAAATGACAGGTGGAGAGGAGGTTTCTATGCGCTGTCACAATCTTGATTATATGTCAATGATTAAAGATGTCATTTTCTGCAATTACATGTTTGATATGTACCATGTTGACAGCATACTGTCACTTGAGAATGAGGAGAGTTAGAAGACAAGGAGTCAGGAGGGTGAGGATGAAAAATGGAAGAGGTGGATGGAAAGAATACAATGAGCAGGAGAGGGGAGATGGCTGAGAAGTGGAAAAAAAGGTGGGTGAGAAGAGTAGAAGGGTGTGCTCAACAATGTCAAGACATGCTAACGTAGCCAGCTGCTATTGCTCTTGCTTACCATTCACTGGGGCTATTAGGTGTATGTGTGTGTACCCATAAAGAGAGAATGGGGAGGAAGACTGGGAAGCAGAGGCCCTTATGTTTATCCCTTGTCTAGAAGACTCTTGTTTAAATTTGATAGGTTCATGTGTTGTGGTTTTCTGTAAAGTAATGTATTATATTTTAGAATCTTAAAATTCTTGATTAAGTATTTTAGAAATTTGATATTTTTGACATATATACGAATATTTCATTTTATTTTCTCAAGTTTTTTTTTTTTTTTTAATGAAATATATTTTTTCCTATCTGTATCGGCATCCCTGTTGTCATGTGCCAAATGAGTTCATTATGATAAGATCTCGATCTTGCAAACCACAAGCCTATATCGATTGGAAAATTTACAGCAATAAACAATTATTACACGATTCTTGGTTACTTATGTTTGTGCATTTTCAATCGGTTTGTTTCATCGAGTTCCCCCATTTTCTTTTCCTCAATGCTCTGGTGCACTGATCCCTGAATGTGATATTTGGCTAGATTATTATGTATTCATGCTACTTGTATTCTGAAGCTAGTTCATATGTTTTCTTTCCATGCTCTTTCTTTTTCTCATTAAAATGTGGTTTTCTACAGTATGTTATCAATCACCAAGCCCTTCCTTGTCTTCTGAACCTCTTGACTCACAATCACAAGAAAAGTATCAAGAAGGAAGCTTGTTGGACCATATCGAACATCACAGCTGGAAACAAGGAGCAGATACAGGTGTGTTTGATGGAAATATATAAAAAAAATATACATTAAGAGTTTTTGCATATTAGATGCTCAAATCATTCGTTTACGAACAAGTTGTCTAAATCTTATTGTTTATGTAAAAATTATTATTTTTTCTATTGTGTATATTAGTTCCTCTGCCAGTTTTCTTTAACTACTGTCAATTTAAGATGATCAACCAATAAGAACAAAACCATTTTACTCCTGGTTCTAACTCAAATTTGTTTGATTATTTTTTTGCAAAGAAAGAAACTAAACTTTACTTAATTAATGAGAACATCCAACAGTCTGCGTCAGAGTGAACCAAATGAGTATGTCCAACTCATTTGTTATGATCGGGCAGCAAAGGGGACCATGTGGGATGAAAGTTTGTTCAAGATGCTAAGGGCATTAAGGGCAATATACGATTGTTTTCCATAGCAAGATGATCAAGAAAATTCTTCTAGGAGTTGAATAATCGTATGATATGCACCAATATTGTTAGTGAAATATATTACAAATAGTTCATCAAACTTAACCTGAAATATTGTTAGTGAAATATTATGCTATGTCGTTCCTCATCTCTGGTTGCCTCGGTATCCACCTTAAGCCTCTCCTCGTTTTTGAATAACAGATGTGGCACCAACTAAATTCTATGAAAATAAGAGATACGAGGGACTTTGTGCAAAATCAAGAGATTTGAGGGACTAATGTACAAAACGTGGCACCAATCAAATCCTATGAAAATATCCTGCATCTAGAGATTTAGATTTGCTATTTGACTCTAACCAACTCTTGTAATTCAATTGATTGCAGGCTGTAATAGCTGCTGGTATTATTGGTCCCCTAGTGCATCTGCTGCAATCGGCAGAATTTGATATCAAGAAAGAGGCAGCGTGGGCCATCTCGAATGCTACTTCTGGTGGTAGTCATGATCAGATTAAGTATGTCGACTGATAGCTTTTCTGTTTGAATGTTGCATTTGATTTTTATTTTTGGAAGGCCTCCCACTTTTTATATCTTAGGTTAACTGGTCTCAAGTGTGTTTGTTCAGGTTTTTAGTTGACCAAGGCTGCATCAAGCCATTGTGTGATCTCCTTGTCTGCCCAGACCCAAGGATCGTAACTGTTTGCTTGGAAGGGCTTGAAAATATCTTGAAGGTCGGCGAAGCTGAGAAGAACCAAGTTACCACTGGAGGTGTGAATGTGTATGCTCAGATGATCGATGAAGCCGAGGGCTTGGAGAAGATTGAGAACCTCCAGAGCCATGATAATACTGAGATCTACGAGAAAGCTGTGAAGATCCTCGAAACATTTTGGTTGGAGGAGGAAGATGATGCAATGCCTACGGGTGATGCTGCTCCAACTGGATTCCATTTTGGGAACAATGGCCAGAACACAGCTCCATCCGGTGGATTCAACTTCAGCTGAACTTTGGTAGGAACATGATGCCATGCTTTTGGGTGATAATCTGTACTCCTACTCGAAGGATGATAATAAATTATTACGCTAACTTTCTTGTGCCTAGAATGCAGGGTCTATTTCCCCGGAAACTGGAAATCGTTCCAGTTCAAAGTCAGTGGGGAGAGTATTGTTGCTGGTTCGGATCATGTCAGTCGAGAGTCAGGTGTCGGTCGAGGTGGTTGAATAAAAAACAAGGGTTTTATGGAAGACGCCATGTGTGATGACACACTTTGGCCTTCTGGGTTTCGAATGAGTGCATGCTGTCACAGCTTATGAAGTACAGGTAAGCGAAGGGGCTCGCCCAATTAGGATACGAGTCATGTGATACTTCGTCACAGGTGATGCAAGTGCAGGATACCAACTTTTTTTGGCCTCCTGTAAATAGCATGAACTTTTTCTAGGGTTCAAGTGAGGTGTTTCCAAACTATTTTGTGGCCTTCGCCAATCAGTACAGTGTGTAGGTTGTCATGTAAGTCTTCCCTACTACAAAAAGGAAATGTGATATCTCATTTTGTGTCATATTATATCTTTGGTACAGTGTGTAAGTTGTCATGTAAGTCTTCCCTACTACAAAAAAGGAAATGTGATGTCTCATTTTGTGTCATATTATATCTTTGGTAATTGAGACAGGTTTCTCTTTGCTTGTATAGATATAGCATCTAATTTTATGAAAGATTATGATATTTTAATTCAGTGTTTTGTGCTCTCCTCGGAAATTATTGTTACAGCATTAGCCATAAATAGCATGATTACTATATGTGTCAAGTATGGGTAGAGTTCTTTGAGCCTTAATTTTCTCTTTTTTCGTTTGTTCGTTCGTTCTTTAATGGTCTCTCTTATATTTTAACTAATTTATATTCTTTAATTCATTTTTAAAATTTTGTGTTTGAATTATTAGGTATAGTAATTTTCTCGTTCGTTCTTTAATGAAGTTAGCATATATCCAATTTAATCTAGCCTTGTTAATGGAAGGTTCAGATTTGTCCACACACTTACCAAAGGTTATGATTCGATATTTTCATATCTTTTATATATTTATTTATTCATATCTTTTGTATATATATATATATAAATAAAAGATATAAAAAATATCGAATCATAACCTTTGGTAAGTGTGTGGACGGTCAAATCAATACAAAACATGGAATATTAACTTGAAGATGAACAGTCAAATCCCTCGTCGCAGTAAAACTAACGAAAAGAAAGAGAAATAGACTCTTCTTCTTCTTCTTCTTCTAAGCGACGCAAGTCGCATGGAGCTCTCTTCTCACCGACCAGCACTCGGAGGGGCACTACCATCACAGAGCGCCGGGGTGTCCTCACCGGCCGTGGACGAGGTCCTTGAACCAGTGGAGTCCCCTGCGGAGGGAGATTCTCACCTTTCTCTCCACGGCGTACGCCTTGTACCCCGCCACCCTCCGCCGCCGCTTCGCTTCCGGGTGTCTCGACCACCACGACACCGCCGACGACGAGGAGGAGGACTTGGCCGCACCGGTCCCCGCCGGCGGCCGGCGCGCCGCAGGCACGATTTCGGACCCCAACGGCGCGGCGCGGGCCTGGTTCCCCATCCGGTGGCCGCGGTCGAAGTCGCGCACCGGGAACAGAGAAGGTTCGAGTGCGAGAAATGCCTCGCGTCCTTCACGTTGGATTTCTTTTTGCTTGGCGTGGTTTTAATATATGGTGGTGAGAGGAGGAAGGCGGACTGGCGAAGGAGCGGACTCGAGCTGGCAAATGATTAGCCACAAACGGTGAATGGTAGTCATCTGTTTACTATATCAAGAAACAATAAACCTTAATTATGAATAAATTGTCTTAAATCGGAACCATTCCCACTCTTTTCAGGGTACTCATGGGGAGATTTGAATTCAGGATAATACGCTAATCTCTTTCCTTACTAAATTATTCAGTATCTTCAAAAATATATCAAATGGAGATTAGGAACATTCAGACTAATATTAAAAATATTCTAAAATCGATCCTTCTAAAAAATAAATAATATATAATTTTATCCATGTCGTATCATAATTTGTTTTATCTTATCCATTTAAAAAAAATTAGTAAGGTAAAAAAAATTTCTTTCTATCTATGTCGTATCATAAATAGAGTTTTGTCCCTTCTAGACATCTATGTGATCGTAAGTCTAAGATATTATAAATTATCTTACTTTTACACAACAATAGAATGTTCGAATAAAGGTCGACTAACTTAATCATTGAAGGGATCGGATTGAAAAACCTACTCATCTCGATTATTTTGTAAATCAATCTCTATTTTTGTGAAATTATGATAAATTTTTTACACATATGTGGGCATTTTAATAAACTTTAATTTTCAAAACAAATACTAAAATCACTATATATATATATATATATATATATATATATATATATATATATATATATATATATATATATATATAT